ATATTAATGCACCACCCTTAATAGAAACAAAAGTCATTTGTCAGATTTATAAAAGATCTGATTAACACAGTTAGTAAAATTGACCTAATTCACAAATATAAAAACACCTTTGACACAGTTGAGGGTATCTGAGCACCAGCTGGGCATCAGATGATAGTCAAGTATGACTGTTAGTGCTGAGTGTGCAAACGGCGGGGTGGTTATGTTACAGGAGTCCTCACGTGTTAGAAATGAGGAGTCAAATATTTATGGGAAAGCCGAGACCGGTTTGGCTCAGTGGATAGAGCGTCGGCCTGCGGACTGGAAGGTCCCGGGTTCGATTCTGGTCGGGGGCATGTACCTGGGTTGCGGGCACTTCCCCAGTGGGGGATGTGCGGGAGGCAGCTGATCGATGTTTCTCTCTCATCGATGTTTCTGGCTCTCTATCTCTCTCCCTTCCTCTCTGTAAAAAATCAATAAAATATAAAAATATATATATTTATGGGAAAATAGTGACATCTGGGATTTAATTTTTTGTTGTTTATGCTCACTGGAGGTTATTTTTTCCATTGATTCTTAGAGAGAGTGGAAGGGGCAGGGGGGAAGGAGGAGGGGAAAGAGAGAGAAAGAGAGAGAGACATCCATGCGAGAGAGACACGTTGATTGATTGCCTCCTACATAGGCTCAGACGGAGGACGGGGACTGAACCTGAAACCCAGGTACATGCCCTTGACCGGGAATTGAACCCGAGACCCTCCTGGTGTGCGGGCCGACTCTCTAACCATTGAACCACGCCGGCTAGGCCATGGGATTGAAATCACTCCAGAAAAAGAGAACACACAGGGAGACAACAACTGGACCAGATGCTAATCATTGTTGAAGCGCAGTGAGGGGGGCATGAGAGTTCACAATATTAAGTAGTCTGGAATTTTGCAAAATTTCCCCCCAAAGAAAAACAAAATCCTAAAAGAATGTCCATAGGGTCCCCGCAGACCTCGCTAGTGTGAGAAGAGGGCCTGGGGGAGACTGGGAACTCGCCACTTGTCTAACAAGACAAACTGTCGCTAACGGAGCCAGATGATTTTTGTCAGGGACCGTGAGCCAAAGGTTGCCAAATTGGGGGATTTTATTTTCAAGGGAAGCTGGAATCCCGGATGTTTACATGGAGTTAGTTGTCAACAAATTCACATTTTTTACCAATACACATCGGCCAAAGAAAACATGTTTATTGGCCGAGTCTGGCCAACAGACCCTAAGGCTGAGACCTTGGTCTGGGGCAAGGTGGGGGCACCGCAGGCGCTGGAATCTGAGGGCTCAGGTTCAAATCTTAGCTTCCTCCTTTTCTCTTGTATTTAATTTCAATTCTTGATTGGTTGAAAGTTCAGCTTCCCCTTTTCAGCTGTGCTGACCACGGGCAAAAATGACTGACTTCTCCAAGCCTGTGTGCGCTCTCACTAAGATAATAACGACAATGACGCCTCCCACGGTGGTCCTGGGAGAGTCCATGCAAGCATGCTGAGTCCAGAGGGTCACAGTGAAAGCATCCAATAAACAGGAGCTTTTAGCACATTGCTATGTCACGACATTCCACTCCCACCCTCCGAGTGTGGGGGTTCTCTGCACACTGTCACAGCTACTTTTATTTATTTTTTAAATGTATTTTTACTGATTTCAGGGAGGAAGGGAGAGGGAGAGACAGAAACATCAATGATGAGAATCATTGATTGGCTGCCTCCCGCACGCCTCCTACTGGGGATCCAGCCCACAAGCCAGGCATGTGCCCTTGACCAGAATCGAACCTGGGACCCTTCAGTCCGAAGGCCGACGCTTCCATCCACTGAGCCAAACCAGCAAGGGCCACAGCTCCTTTCATCTGAGCCTACGCTATATATCTAGATCTTGTCACTCCCAGGGTTCCGTTATTTCTTTTTATACATTTATGTTGATTTTTAAAATATATATAGCCCTAGCTGGTTTGGCTCAGTGGATAGAGCGGCCAGGGAGGAACCTGCAACCGAGGTATATGCCCCTGACAGAATCGAACCCGGGACCCTTCGGCCCACAGGCCGATGCTCTATCCACTGAGCCAAACCGGCCAGGGCTCGGTTATCTTTTTGACATTGATGCCTCCCAGGTCCCTGCCTCTAGACCTGAGGTTCAAAGTGGTATTTTTCAAAAATATACATATTCTTATTGATTTCAGAGAGGAAGGGAGAGGGAATGAGAGCTAGAAACATAAATGATTAGAGAGAATCATTGATCAGCTGCCTCCTGCACACCTCCTACTGGTGATGTGCCCGCAACCCAGGTACATGCCCTTCACCGGAATCGAACCTGGGACCTTTCAGTCTGCAGGCCGACGCTCTATCCACTGAGACAAACCGGTTTCGGCAACAAATATTTAATGAGGACTTACTATGCACCAGGCACTATTCTAGATGATGGGGTATAACAGTGAAGAAAATAGAGAAAAAATACCTCTGCCTTTCTCTCTGAAATCAATAAGAATATGTATATATATATATTTTAAATATATTTTTTTATTGATTTCAGAGAGGAAGGGAGGAGAGATAGAAACATCAATGATGAGAGAATCACTGACCAGCTGCCTCCTGCACGCCCCCTGCTGGGGATCAAGCCCGCAACCCGGGCATGTGCCCTTGAGTGGGAAACACTGAATCAGAGCCACACCAGCCCGGCCCAAAGTGGCCTTTGACTCCTGCACACGTTGGACAACATGTGATAACTCAGCTCAGCATCTTTCCCCGGAAGCTTGCTCCTCCAGGGTTCACCATGGGGTGGGGGACAGTCCACTTCGCCACAGGGCCAGACCCCAAGTGCGGTCCTCGCCTCTCAGTTCCCCGAACCCTGCGGCTCCTGCACCGCGGCCTCATCCGACCCCTGAAAATCACAGCCTGCGCAGGCGCAGCTCGCACCCTGGACGTGGGCTCTTCTTCCAGCCTCCTCCCCTCCTCCTGCAGAAGCCCAAGCTCCTCGATTGGGTGCGAGAGGGCCCTTGGGGGTGACCTGGCTCCATGGGGTGGGGGGGATTCTGAGGGGCCTGAGCCATTATGGAAAATTCGAGGCGCCTTACTTATCTGCAGGAACCTCCAAAACGTTATGGGAGGCTCTGAGGCAGCGGTTCTCAACCTGTGGGTCGCGACCCCTGAAAATACATCCTGCATACCAGATATTTACATGACGATTCATAACAGTAGCAAAATTACAGTTATGAAGTAGCAACGACAATAATTTTCTGGTCGGGGGTCACCACCACATGAGGAACTGTAGTAAAGGGTCGCGGCATTAGGAAGGTTGAGAACCACAGAGCCTGAGTGATTACAGGAGTCCCAGGGAATTTCTTAACACCGAGGGTCATGGATCACCATCAGCATTTTCAGCGGCCCCGAGGACTCCCGGTGGGTGCACGCGACACCCCCAGAGGTGGCGAGGGACCACGGGGGGCCCATGAGGGGCTGAGGGCATGAAATGAGGAGTTCTGATGGATTCCGGGGTTCCGAGAGCCCCCCCGAGATCACAGAAGCCACACAAGTACAGAGGAGCCTGAGGACTCACGGGGACTCCACGGAGGGTCCGAGTGATTAAGGGAGAACTCTGGGGGTGCCCTGGAGGACCATGGCGGCACAGGATGTCCTCAGGAACCCTGGGAAGTCTATGGGGGTTCAGAGGTTCCCTGGAGGTTCTGATGTGGCTCCGAAGAACCAGTCGCACCCCTCCGGGTGGGGCGGGTCTGAGGAACCGGGGAGACACCGCCTCGAGCTCGGGCCGTGGGGCACGAGGACCCGCTAAAGGGCTGAGAGGTACAACCGCAAAAGCTCCCGGGAACCTGGTCCAGGGGCGCCGGGAACCACCGAAGCAAAGACGGGCGGAGTCGCGGAGCTGCCGCGGAGGATCACGGGAGTCAGCGCGCAGAACCCGCGCGGGGGGAGGGGGGAGCGAGGGAAGGAGGGAGGGAGGGAGGGGCAGCGCCGGCCCGCAGGCCCTCACCAGCGCGCATGCGTGGCTCTCCGGCGCGGGTCCGTACTCCAGCGTGGCGAAGATCTCTCGGGCGCGGGACTCCGCGCGCGTGGCAGCCATCACCCGTCCAGACCGCTTTCCACCAACTGCCGGGCGCTCTACCCGAGGGAACTTCGAGGTCCGAAGGGCGGGGCCGCCCCCTCCAGGGCAAAGGGCGGGCCGAAGGAGATAGAACGTGACCCAATCTTAAGACCCGGCGACCCCGCCCACGTAGTTCGGAGCATGCGCAGTCCTCACAGTGGGGGGGACGGAAGAGAAATTGTGTGTGCCTTGCAAAAACGGAGAGTTCCAGATTTAGAAGGGTGGCCGTGTTGGGGTGTCTTCCCACCACCTTGTTCACAAAACTGCAGCTTTCGGCCCGAAATACATTTACTAGAGAATCGAGTCTAGCTCTGGGGCGAAGCGATAGTTCGGAGATGAGAAGGGAATCTTAGGATGGACACTGAAATGAGGGTTTGACTGCCCGTAACCTGGCCTGAGGAAGCGGTCGGGAAGGAGGGGGAAGTTTGCCTTTAATCGACAGCGGAAGTGTGGCATTAAGGGAATCAGCCTCAGAATCTGGTTTTGATTGGTTGAGGTGAGAGGAGGCGTGGCCTCGTACTTAGAGTCTGATTGGTCAGTAGCGCGGTTGCTGGTTAAGGTACGAGCGCTGAGGGAGTCGGAAGTGTGGCGAACTCAAATTTCGGTTACACAGAGACCGGAAGAGTGGCTGTCATTTAAACATTTGGCGTGTTGGAGCGTCGAGAGATACTGTCCCCCAACAGATTTGACGACGGTACCTGATCTGAGTGGAACTGTAGCCTCCGGCCAGATTCCTCGATTCTCATATACAACAGTGGGTGTCGGAGTCTGTTGAGGGCCCGGGAAGCCGGCCCCAGAGTTCCGATCCCAGCAAAGGCTTCCCCACGTCCGCGTTGCTGGGGACGCCTAGGTCTCTTCCCCGGGGCCATGGCGGACTTGAAGCTGCTGGTGCCGGAGCTGAACGAAGCGGAGGCCATGGGCGCCGAGACTGCACGTTTCCAGGAGCTGCTGCTGCAGGTGCGCACTGACCAAGGACTCCTGTGTCCCTGGTTATTTTGGGGGATTCTTTTTTTTTTTTCCCCCTGAGATGGGATTGCAGTTCCCAGAATGCACTAGAGAGGCAACAGGGCTTCTGGGAATTGTAGTCGGTTAACTCCAAGTTTGCTAGGCTCTGGAATGAATGGGAGTAAGACTGGGGTTGTTCTTTGGGTTCCTCAGAGGAGGACAGGGACATAATATGTCTTATTCCCTGCGTGGCTCGTATCCCTAAACATTGCTCAGTAAACATTTGAGCAACAAATGCGGGTCTGATAGCACCGACGCCAAGCCTGGAAGACATGTTCCTTCACCCAGGCCTCCAAGGAGCTCCAGCAGGCCCAGACGAGCAGACCAGAATCAACACAGATCCAACCTCAGCCAGGTGAGGAAGGCAGAAACCCAAAGAGAGCGAACGGTCCCCAGGGAGAAGTGGAGAGACACTGGGGTCAAAGGACACAGAGGAGGGAGGAAAGGGACATAAGAGGGTTTAGAAGCCTCGGTGGGGAAGTGAACAGAGACCCAGAGGGAGATCCAAAGGGGGGGGGGGATGGGAATGACTCGGGGGACAGAGACTCCAACATGGAAAGAGAGTCAGAGGTCCCAGGTGTGGGGAGGGGGACAGAACCAGAAAGTGGAGGACTGAGACTCAAGGAAGGGGACAGATGGAAAAAGGACAGACTGGGGAGAGGGTGGATGGAAATCAAGACCCACATGGAGACATGGTCAGGACCAACCCATTCCCACCAGGCTTCTGTGTAAAGACCAACTCATCCGAAGGGAAGGTTTTCATCAACATCTGTCACTCTCCCTCCATCCCTCCTCCGGCTGACATGACCGAGGATCAGCTGCTTCAAATGCTGGAGGAGGACCAAGCTGGGTTTCGCATCCCCATGAGTCTGGGAGAGCCTCATGCCGAACTCGATGCAAGTCAGTACCCTTGGGGGACCCAGGACCCCGGCCCCCTAGGTCCTTCCTTCCCCAGGACCCCAGAATCCAGGGCCCAGGACTCGCTTCCTGCAGGCCCTAGAAACCCCCTGATCTGCTCCCTTCCCCCGAGGCATACCCCTAGACTCCTGGGCCTGCTGCAGCGGCCGCATGGGGCAGTCCTGGTTCTGCCCACCTGGCCAGGCTGGCACTTCTATTTGCCTCCCTCCAGGGCAAGGGCGGGGGCAGGTGCTTTATTAGCCCATCTTCTGGATGGAGGCCCAGGCCAGCTCTCACCCTCATCTCCGTTTTCTCCTTCACCCTGTTCCTGCCTCTGTCTCTCTGCCCCTCTCACCTCTCTCTGTGGCATTTCTGTGTCTATGTCCTTGCTTGTTCGATTCACATATGTCCCTTGAAGCCTCCTGGGACCCTGTGGCATTTCTGTATCTATGTCCTTGCTTGTTCAATTCACATATGTCCCTTGAAGCCTCCTGGGACCACGTTTTGGGTGGTGCCCCGGGGAGCAGGGACTCTGTTATGAACCGTAATGTAAATATCTGATATGCAGGATGTATTTTCATTGTGACAAATTGAACATAATGAAAGCATGGTGATTGATCACAAAAACAATATGTAATTATATATGTGTTTTCCGATGGTCTTAGGCGACCCCTGTGAAAGGGTCGTTCGACCGCCAAAGGGGTCGCGACCCACAGGTTGAGAACCGCTGCTTTAGTGCTGTCTCCTTGCCTGTCTGAGCTGTGGGGCTGCCCCGAGGGCGGGGGGCCTCACCCCTTTCTCTCCCCGCAGAAGGCCAGGGTTGCACCGCCTACGACGTGGCTGTCAACAGCGACTTCTACCGGAGGATGCAGGTTGGGGGCATGGCTGTGGGTGAGGCCTGGGCAGGGGCCGCTCCCTTTACCCTGAGCCCTCCCGCAGCCCTGCTCCCCGCTCTGTCCTAGAACAGCGATTTCCTGCGGGAGCTGGTGATCACCATCGCCAGGGAGGGCCTGGAGGACAAATACAGCCTGCAGCTGAATCCTGGTGAGGGGTCTGGGCAGCGTGGGGGCCGCCCGTGGGAGAGGCGGGCGAGCGTGGCTAATGGCTTAGCCTCTAGGCTGCGATCCTGGGGACAGGGCGAGGCGCCCCGGGGTGTGTGGGGTGTGTGTGTTCGTGCCTGTGGAGCGGGACCTGGCCGGTAATCTAGGTAAAGGGCGGGGTCTGGACAGCGTGGGAGCCGTGGAGTCTGAAGCATCTCTTAGGATCAGATTTTATTGGCTAATACTCCGGGAAGGCGGGGACAAGGTGGGCGCGCTTCCTAGAGCCAAGCCTGGGGGTGTGGTCAGGTCCCTTGCCACCTCCACCCTTCTCCCCTCCCGGGAAGCTCTCCCGGGGCTGGACGCCCCCCCTGGCGCTTGGAGGAGGGAAGGGAACCCTTACCCTGTGACCTTGACCCCGCCCCCCGCAGAGTGGCGCCTGTTGAAGAACCGGCCTTTTATGGGCTCCATCTCCCAGCAAAATATCCGCTCCCGCCAGCGTCCTCCGATCCAGGAGCTGGGGAACGTGTTTACCGCTGACTCCTTGAGGCCCGCGGAAAGGTGGGCTGTGCTGGGTCCCTCTCTCCTGTCTCCCTGTGCTCTTTGCCATCCTCCCTCCCCAACGGGGCGGTGTCCTGGGGCTCTGGGAACCCCCAGACCACCCCGAGGCCGCATGCTGGCTAGAAAGGAGGGAGCCACATGCCAGGCAGGGGCAGCAGCCCCCGAGGACCTGGGCTCCCCTCAGTTCTGGCTCTTGTTCCTCCGCAGCCCTGAGAAGCCAAACCTGAACCTCTGGCTGGAAGCCCCTGACCTCCTTTTGGTGGAAATTGACCTCCCCAAGCTGGTGGGTGTACCCTCCGCCTGAGCTGGAGAAAGAGGTTGGGGTGTGGGAGCCTGTTAGTACTGCCGTCTGAGTTTAGGGCCCTCGGGCCCACTTCCGGTGCTGTACCCAGGGCACCCTAAGTGACCCAGCGTGGAGAACTGTAATTACTGTGCCCCCCGCCCCTTTTCCCTGGAAGGTTAGACCCTTTAAATACGGTCTCCCACCACGTGAGCCTGCTCTCTCAGCCCGTGTTTCCATCATCCTGTGTCCTGTTGCCGGAAGGGAAGGGGGCGCTGATTCCAGTCTATCCCCAGGATGGAGCTCTAGGGCTGTCGCTGGAGATTGGGGAGAACCGCCTGGTGATGGGGGGCCCCCAGCAGCTGTACCACCTGGATGCCTACATCCCCCTGCGGATCAACTCTGCTGAGAGCAAGGCGGCCTTCCACCGGAAGAGAAGGGTACCTGGGGTGGGGGGTGGTGCGGGGAAGCGGAGGCCTGGGGGCCGGGACTCCTGGGTCCTGAACCCTCTCCCTGTCCTCTCCTCAGCAGTTGATGGTGGCGATGCCCCTTCTGTCCGCCTCTTCTTGACCCGGCGTCGCCCTGGGCTCCCAAGTGGGGAGAAGAAGGCGATCGCTGCTCTAAGACTGAAATAAAAGAGTTTGCCTTTACTCTGTGTCTGGCTGGGAATACATGGGGAGTGGGCGGGGGAGGGACATTGGGCTGTAGCCCTGGCGTCCCAGAGGGGTCACTGCTGCAGCTCAGGCCTCGTCCTCTCCATGGCTCCTGGCCTCCAGTTTCTCCCCTCGTCAGTCTCCCATGGGGTCCCAGAGCGGACTCTGCCCCTCTCCTGTTCGCAACCCCTCCCTGGCTCCCCATCGCCCCTGGGAGAAGGTCCAAACCCCCAGCCTGGCACTCCGAGCAAGTGTGGTCTAACGGGAGGATATGCTTATTGATTTCAGAGAGAGGGGAAGGAGGGAGAGAGAGAAACGTCGATGTGAGAGAACATCCATTGGTTGCCTTCCGTACGCATCCCAACCAGGGATGGAACCTGCAACGTAGGTATGTGCCCTGACCAGGAGTCAAACCTGGCACCTTTCGGTGTGCAGGACAGTGCTTCAGCCAGCTGAGCCACACCAGCCAGGGCACGGTCTGGCCTTCAGGCCTCATTTGGACCTCTTCCTCCCTCTCGCTGCCTAGTCCAGTGGTCGGCAAACTCATTAGTCAACAGAGCCAAATATCAACAGTACGACAATTGAAATTTCTTTTGAGAATCAAATTTTTTAAACTTAAACTATATAGGTAGGTACATTGTTATTAACTTAATTAGGGTCCTCCTAAGGCTTAGGAAGAGCCACACTCAAGGGGCCAAAGAGCCGCATGTGGCTCGCGAGCCGCAGTTTGCCGACCACGGGCCTAGTCACACTGGAGAGTGTCTTGGCCACACCATTTTTTGAAACTTTTTCTTAGTTTCTACTGTCCCTTCTACTTAGTACCGCCCCTCTAGTACACCTGGGAAGTTTCTAATCGTCTCCCCCTCACCGGGGACGTTCCAGAGCCCTTTGGTCTGACCCATACCATCATCTCTCCCCTCTCCTGCCCCTGTCCCGACAAGCTGCCCATTCCTGGAATTGTACTTCAAGTCACAGTCACACCAGCCTTTCTCACTTCCCCGCTCTGCAGGTGCTGATTCCCCTGAGGCGGCTACACTCCCTCGGACCATCCTCAGCCGCCTCTCCACCAGCCCTCCCTTTTCTGAGCTTTCCCTGGAAAGCTTTTCAGCCTTCAGGTTTTCTCTGATCTACCCTGGCGGAGTTAGAATCCCCCTCTGGGAGTCCCCAATGCCCAGTGTTACTCTTACAGCTATGTCTCCTCTGGTGTGACAATGCCTAACACCTAGTCAGAACTCAAGTATTTGTTGAATTAATGATAGCCAACCCCTCTCCTTTTTCCATAGTCCTAGGACAGTATGAGACAGAAGGGAGAACTGCCCAAAGGAGCTGGGTATGGGGAGTTACATCTGAGCCCAGCAGCTAGAAAAGGGAAAGAACATTCTAGTCCAGTGATGGCGAACCTATGGCACACGTGTCAGAGGTGACACGTGAACTCATTTTTTTGGTTGATTTTTCTTGGTTAAATAGCATTTAAATATATAAAATAAATATCAAAAATATACATCTTTGTTTTACTATGGCTGCAAATATAAAAAAAATTTCTATATGTGACACAGCACCAGAGTTAAGTTAGGGTTTTTCAAAATGCTGACACGCAGAGCTCAAAAGGTTCGCCATCACTGTCCTAGGTGCATAAATAAATGGAGGAACTCAGTGGTAAATTGGAAGAGCAGTAAAGAGTCCAGTGTGGCCCTGGCCGGTTTGGCTCAGTGGATGGAGCGTTGTCTGCCTGTGGACTGAAGGGTCCCGGATCAATTCCGGCCAAAGGCACAAGCCTGGGATGCGGGCTTGATGCCCAGTAGGGGGCATGCAGGAGGCCGCCAATCAATGATTCTCTCTCATCATTGATGTTTCTATCTCTCCCTCTCCCTTCCTATATTAAATCAATAAAATATATTTTTTAAAAAACAAAAGAGTCCAGTGTGACTGGAACGGAGTTGAATTTGATGGGTAAAGGGAGACTTGGTGAGAAGGGGAAAAGTCGGGGGTCTATGAGCATCTGAGGAGCTAAAATAGGCGCCGTGTCCACTAGATGGCGCAAGGCATCCTCAGAACTACAACTCCCAGCGACCCTCGAAATAAGCGGCCCTTCCGAAGCAAACGGTGAGGTCCAGCGGCCGCTGGGACTCGTAGTTCTCATGGGGACTCAACGTGGGACAGAAGAACACACTCTTAAAGTCCTAAGAAGTGTGGGGCTGGGTCCTTTCCTCCGTCCCCTGTCTCCATGGTGATAGTTCCGGCGAACGCACGGGATTTGGCAGCGGCTGGGCCCTTTTCCCACTCCCTCCTCCTCACCATCTGCTCCACCTTCGCACCTGGC